AAAAACAGAGATAAATACATACATGCACACGCACACACCGACGGAGAAAACAAAAAGGGAGCAAGTGTGAAAGACGAATAGAAAGGAAGTGACAGAAACACAAGCAATCAGAAACATGCATACAACTTCAAAGGGAAACAGGAACATGGAAACCCAGAAATATCATCCTGGGCCATCGTCATTTTATTAAAGGAATACAGAGCATGTATGGGATCTGTTTTGGGAATAGATAACACTCTGTGTCTACACGTGTGGGTGTGGGTGTGTGTGTACATACGTGTGTGAGCGCACATGTATATAAAGGTACAAGATACCAGAGACCTTGTAACTGCTGTGATTTGATTTAGTTGAGATTGATTTCTCTATTAGATGCTTTGTAGCTTACAAACAATGCTGCAGTCCCAATCTTCACAGGAATCATTGCTGCTTAAATAAACGGGCTTGTTTTCACTATTTCAACAAAATTGCTTTGTTTGAAACCATAACAACAGTAATAAGGCTGTTTCCTGAACATCTTCCATTCTGTCAGCCTGTGACATCTGCTTCTCAATAAAACACCTATTGTGAATGCAATTGTTCGCTTCCAGTGAGAACATATTTCCCGAATGTGTTTATGCTATTATTGTTAACTTAACGCTGATGCTCATGGGGAATAGCACTGACCCTCACCGGGACACAGTGACCCTCACCGTGGCCAACCCTCACCGTGACCAGCCCCCACCCCCTCAGCGACCCTCAACGTGACCAGCCCCCCACCCCCCACCTCACCATGAACAGCACTTCACCCCTTCTCCCCCAACTGACTGTCACAAGGCACACTGCCCCCTATTGGAACCTCACTGACAGTGCCTTGCCTACTTAGTGCTTCCAGCACTTTCTACAAGTTTTAATCAGAACTGACGGTGATGCTAGGTGACAGAGTTTGATGGAGTTGAATTATACCAATCATTAAACTGTAAGAAATAGAAACATGAGGCAGCCATTCAGCCCCTCAAGCCTGCTCCACTATTCAATAGGATCATGAGTGACCCAATGTTCCTCACCTCCAGCTTCCTACCTTTTCACCATAACCGAATTCACCATAACATAATCAAGAATCTATTGATCGCAACCTTAAATAATAACAAGGACTCTACCCACACAGCTCTCTTTGGCAAGGAATTCCAAAAACTCTAAGCTCTTATTGCCCAGAAAATTCACTTGAGGTGGGGTAATGACTTCCACCTAAAATGAAAACGACAGAAATGGTGCTGCATCGGAGGAAGAGAGACTGTTGGAGATCAGTGGGATAACAATCAGCTCATGACATCTTGGCTTTAATGGGAATAAGAAAGTGGAAACACAGAAGTGGTTAATGACTTGTTCCTCCATGTTTCACATCATCTCACAGGCAACCAGTCTACTCCACTCAGAGTGGCCACTCTATCCCTGAGGGCCTCCAGTGCTGTACACTGACTGCATTTGGAATACCTCTCTATATTTACCATCAAATCACAAACACCTACAGTATCAAGAGGGTCTTTGGAGTTGATCATTTGTGTGTTGCCACAAACTCTCCCTTTGTTTCCTCTTGGCGACATTCTGAAATTTGGTCATTTGACAAGGACCGGGAACAAACAGCAGGAGCAGCTCTTTCTCATTCAGAATCTTGGCCTTCTGCACGTAACTCTTCAGTCCTAATGGATGGAACTGTCAGCAAAGACTGAACTGGCTCTTTCCTCCAGAAAAAGGGAAGACTGAGGAAGCGTCAATCTAATAGAAATATTTTGATAGGTTAGACAGAAGTGTTTTCAGATTTGCACAGGCAAGGCAAAGGCATACACAGCTATGGACCAAGTGCTGGAAAATAAGACTTTAACAGTTCAGTGGTTGTTTTTGACCAGCGCAGACTTGGTGGGGCGAAGGGCCTTTACCTACATTGTAGATCTCTATGACACTTCTCCTGGAGTGATAAGCCAAGTCAGAATACAACGCAGGGCAATATAAAGGAGCTTTTCGTAAGTACAGGAAACATTAGAACCTCCAGTCTTTAAAATTACACCCCTGTATGAGATCATGTTCATAAGTGTAAGTATTCATAAGTCAGCAGTTCGCAACTCAGGGACCCCCTGTATAAGGGGTGAAGGTAAACCTCTTTATGCTGAGAATGTGGAGCTCACTAGGACGGGCAATAGTTTAGGTGAACAGTGTACTTATGTTGAAGGGAATGCTGGATAAATGAGACAGGAAAGAAGAGGAGGAGGAATATGCTGATGGGGTGAGAGAAAGTCATCTGGGAGGTGACTTGTGTGAAACGTAAATAGCAGCATGGACCCACTGGATTTAACAGCTGCAGTTTTTGTGAACCAAGTGTTGATTTCAGCATTAAGATGGTTAAACTGTCATCACCAACAATCTCCAGCATCATCAACACTGAACAAAAAATCTTGCTGGATTGCCAGTTATTCATTCATGGGACAAGAGCATCACTGGCCAGGCAGCATTTATTGCCCATCCCTAATTGCCTAGTGGACAATTCAAAGTCAACCACATTGCTGTGGGTCTGGAGTCACATGTAGACCAGACCAGGTAAGGATGACAGTTTCCTTCCCTAAAGGACATTATGAACCAGATGGGTTTTACAACAATCGACAATGGATTCACGGTTATCATTAGATTCTTAATTCCAGATATTTATTGAATTCAAATTCCACCATGTGCTGTGGTGGGATTCGAACCTGGATCCCCAGAACGTTGTCTGGGCCTCTGAATTAACAGTCCAGTGATAATACCACTAGGCCATCACCTCCCCTGAGCTTATTTTTAACATAGTTCTCACTCTCCAAAGGTTAGGATGGTGATTTGGTTGTGCTGCACTTAGGAACATAGAAACAGAAGGAGGCCGTTCAACCCTGGAGTCTGAATTGACTTGAGAAATTGATCAGAATACTCTGGCCTAGAAACTTAGCAGGGCTGCCTCTATTTGGCAGACCGTCGGTTTAAGCTGCTGGAGAGAACGGGCAGTTCACTGAAGCTGCTCAATGTGAGCTCCAGCTTCCACGACAATGCAATGGGAAGGGTCAGATAAAATAGGGCAATATCAGAACTCTCTGAAATCCACTGGTTTGTGTTTTGACACCAATAGCATCATCATATCCTGCCCTTTGCGAGTGTCATATGCCTTCAGGTCATTCAATTTCTACACCAGAACTGAGAGAAAGCGCTGCTTGCCTGAGAACCAACAGAAAGTGTGCCGAGTTCCTGTCAGATCTGGATCCTGACACTGCACCAAAAATTCTACATTGAGGAACACCAGCAGCAGCAAATGGACAGACTCTCTTGCATCTAGGAAGAGTCTGGCATCATGGAGACGTAATGCTTTTCATCCTGCTTGTCCTGCCCTTTATGAGCAGTGACAATACATGCTGGAGATTGGTGAGAGAATCACACACAGAGGTTCCACAGTTACCAATAATCCAACACTCGTTACTGAAATCAACACACAGATGACAGAAACTGCAGCTGTTGTGTCCAAGCTCAGTCAGAGTGTGTGGAACAACAACTGAGAACACCAAATTGCAAGCCTCCCAAACCTGCATCACCAACACGCTCCTCTACAGGAGAGACCCGGATGACAGAGGCTAGGCACAAGAAGAGGCTGAACCAGTTTGTTTCCAGCTGTTCCAGACGTATCCTTCTCACCATCTCTTGGCAGGATAAGGTCACCAACTCAGGGTCTGGTCTAATTGGAGCAGCAACAGATTCAAGGGATGAATTATCTCCACCTCAGCATATGATCACGCAGGAGTTGCTGGCTTAGAACATAGAACATTACAGCGCAGTACAGGCCCTTCGGCCCTCGATGTTGCGCCGACCTGTGAAACCAATCTGAAGCCCATCTAACCTAAACTATTCCATTATCATCCATATGTTTATCCAATGACCATTTAAATGCCCTTAAAGTGGGCGAGTCTACTATTTTTGCAGGCAGGGCATTCCACGCCCTTACTACTCTGAGTAAAGAACCTACCTCTGACATCTGTCCTATATCTATCACCCCTCAATTTAAAGCTATGTCCCCTCGTGCTAGCCATCACCATCCGAGGAAAAAGGCTCCCACTGTCCACCCTATCAGTTGCTGATTGACCTTTGTTTAGATATTTTATCCCACTAGACTCTGCCAGCTAGGCAATAAACTGCACCCACAAAGCCTTCCACCCTCCCACCAGGCTGGTTCTGCTCATGGTTAGATACAGAGCGAAGCTCCCTCTACATTGTCCCCATCAAATGGTCCCAGGACAGGGACAGTACACGGTTAGATATAGAGTAAAGCTCTCTCTACACTGTTCCCATCCAGCACTCTCAGGACAGGGGCAGCAAGGGGTTAGAGTCAGAGTAAAGCTCCTTCTACACTGAAGATAGACAGGAATAGGAAAGCAGAACGTTATCTAAATGGAGATACACTGCAAAAGCTCGAGAGAGGAATGTGAGTGACTTCTTACTTGAATCACAACTAGTTAGTGTGCAGGAGCAGCAAACAATTAGGAAAGCAAATGTAAGGGAGATGGAATACAAGAGTAGGAAGCCCAGTTACAGCTGTACAGTGAGACTGCACTGAGCGTTCTAGGTGTTCTGTCTCCTTATGAAGGACGATATTTGCAAGGCCATTTCAGAGGGCAGTTAAGAGTCATCCACATTGTCGTGAAACTTGAGACACACATAGCTGGTATTTCCTTCCTGAAAGAAAATGAGTGAACACCAGTTGGGTTTTTCGGACAATGCTCACTATTACTAAGATTTTTACCTAGATTCAGCAAATTGAAATCCCCTGCTGTGGGATTAGCTCAGATTTCTAGATTATTATTTAGTAACAAAACCAATATTCCTTCAATAATCTACTGCATGCGTTTAACCATCAAAAAGCAATAATCCAAAATCAAACGAAGGAAGAATTTTGAACAGTGTATTTAGTATTTTCTCTTTATATTTATATGGATATAGGTGCTGTAACCATTTTATGATTCTGTACAATTTTTTTTATTATGGCATTAAACAGCAGCATTTACAGTTTATCTACATTTTAAAGCCCCTTCAGTCACTTGACAATTTTTGGACATTGTCTGTTTAAATACAATAATAAGTGCACTGTGCATGTCCGATACACACAGCTGCCAATTGTCAATGGACAGTTTTACACAGAATGCAATGTTGCATTTTAAAAACAGTACATGGGGATGTGCATGCTTCACAGCATGTCAGGCTTGAGGGACTGAAGGCATCATTCATTTCCAAAACTGCTGATACCAAGCTTACACGCAGTGGTGCTCTCTTCCACCCTCAAAGTTACCAGTTGTACCCATCTTAAAACATTCAGAAGGGCAGCTGTGAGACTTAAAATGTACAAAATAAAACCAACTCACACCCAGACACGTTCAAACAGGAAGGATGCCAAACATCTTTTGTTGTCGAACGAGGAAGTATTCGGACAATGACACATTGTTCAACGTCAAGGCCCACTCCTGAATGTTAAAGCTGCCGAGGGGTTTCAGAGCGGATTATACAAACGATTGGGTGAAGAGGCATTGAAGTGAGGAAACGAGGGTATGCACACTTCAGTTTAGAAATCAGTCACTTTATATTTCTTGTTCCTTCTGTTCCACTATTCTCATATTTAGGAAGACTCTAGGGGAGGCAGGGGCCAACTCACTCAAGCTGCTAACATTCAGCATTTATAACCAGAGGCTGCTCAAAGTGTTTGAACCTGAAGGATCCTTGGAGGCTCTTTCAGCATAATCCTCCAAACCCATGACCACTTCCACCTAGAAGATACATGGGAACACCACCCCTTGAAAGTTCCCCACCAAGCCTCTCACCATCCAGAGTAAGAAATGTATCGCTGTTCCTAAATCCTGGTACTGCCTCCATAATCATATTGTGGGTCTACCTACAGCATGTGGACAGCAGTGGTTCAAGAAGGCAGCCACTGCCGCCACCTTAAGGGCAACTGAGGATGGGCAGTAAATGCTGGCCCCGTCAGCAATACCCACATCCTCCGAATGAATAAAAAAACACAACGAAAAGGAACAGCAGCTCCCAGATAAGACAGCAAACTGCTCCTGTAAATTGGAATCAACACTCTGAGCAGGCATGGGTCCTGCTCCTGATTACTACCCAGTGACAACCCACCCTATCTCTACCAGATTGCGTATGCGATTCCTGTGTGAATCTACGATATCCCTCATCCTCAAATGACCATACCATCACTACCTGGACAGCTCACCAGGATTCCGAAAGATCAGAGAAAGACAAAAGAAAAAAGCGATTCACTCAAAACTAAAACTCATCTCGAGTAAAGGCAGAATAAAACACAATCAGTCAGAGTTGGGTTGTCAATACTGAAGTGTGAGGAAGACTTTGGCCTTGAGTCTGTAGATTCAGGCCAGCAGGCCTGACGACAGGCTCCTGACCAGTACGAGTGCCCGTTGTAACGGTGCATCTGGTTTACAGCAGCAGTTACTCCACTTTGTCCCCTGGGTTTGGCACCATTCGAAAAACCAGAATCAGCCTAACTGATCGCGTCAGTTTAAAGAAAGAGGGACGTGCATTTCTGAAACAACTTGTACAACTTCAGGATACCAGCAAATGACTGACTTTTAAAAGTATACTCGCGATTGCAATTTAGGAACCGTTACATAGATTAGCACACAGCAAGATCCCACAAACAGCAAAATAAAAACTGAAAGAACTGCGGATACTCTAAATCAGTTCTGAGGCAGGGTCGCCGACCCGAAACGTTAACTCTGATTTTTCCTTCACAGATGCTTCCAGACCTGCCAAGCTTTTCCAGCAACTTCTGCTTTTGTCCCACAAACATCAATATAGTCACAACTAAATAATGCTTTTGCATTAATGATTAGGAGATAAAGATTGGTCAGGGCACCAGGATAACCCCACTGCTTGCCTCTGGAATAAATGCCATGGCATCTTTTACATTTACCTCCAACAATGCTGCATTACCTCAGCAATGCAGTAGGGTGTTAGCCTTGGTTTTTGTGGTCAAGTCTCTGGAGTGATCAGTCAGGCTGCAGCCTCCTGACACTCAGCGAACAGTGTACTGGCCACTGAGCAGTGGCTTATACTAATGTACAGAACTGGCTGGGAATTGACTACAGCAAAGTGAAGCGATCACTTCGTTGGTCAAGTTGAATGTTCATTGGCAGAATTCCCTGTTTCCTATTGTATCCTGCTTTCCTCAGTGATGTTGTTGTTGCTGCTTTGGAGTCGAGTTTCCAGAGTCAGGAACTTGCCAGGTGATTCCTTCTGTTGTTTCCCAAAACAAATGGACCATCAATGGCTTCAATTTCAAATCTGCCTATATTGGTTCAGCCACCTTTGGAATACTGCATGCAATTCTGGTCTCCCTCCTATAGGAAGAATGTTGTGAAATTTGAAAGTGTTCAGAAAAGATTTACAAGGATATTGCCAGGATTGGAGCTATTGGGACAGGCTGAATAGGCTGGGGCTATTTACTCTGCAGCGGAGGCTGAGGGGTGACCTTATAGAGGTTTATAAAATCACGAGGGGTATGGATGGGGTATATACACATGGTCTTTTTGCTAGGGTTGGGGAGTCCAAAACTAGAGGGCATAAGTTGAAGGTGAGAGGCAAAAGATTTAAAATAGGCCTAAGGGGCAACTTTTTCATGCAGAGGGTGGTGTGTGTATGGAATGAGCTGCCAGAGAAAGTGGTGGAGGCTGGTACAATTTACAAGATTTAAAAAGGATTCTGGATGGGTATATGAATAGGAAGGTTTAGAGGGATATGAGCCAAATGCTAGCAAATGGGACTAGATTAATTTAGGATATCTGGTCGGCATGGTCAGGTGGGCCACAGGGTCTGTTTCTGCGCTGTACATCTCTACGATTCTATAACTGATAACAGACCAGACAAGAAGTTTCTAAATCAGGGATCAGGCAATATTCATGAATAAACAAACAGATAAAGCAGGGAAATGCTCTGATGTCTTTGAGGTCAGGAACACAATAATTTGATAAGACCAGAAAGCGGAGGATAAAACCTTGGTCAACACACTGATGCAATACTGAGGGGAGAGCTGCACTGTCCGAAGGTCAGTGCTGAGCAAGCACTGCACTACAGTTGGGAAGGCAAATGCAATGTTGGCATTCATTTGAAGAGTGCTAGAATACAAGAGCAGAGATGTACTCCCAAAGCTGTTTGAGGCTCTGGTCAGACTGCATTTGCAATATTGTGAGCAGTTTTGGGCACTGTATCTAAGAAGGATGTAATGGTGTTGGAAGGGGTTTGTAAGAATGATCACCAGGTTTGTTAGAACAGAAGCATTTGGCAACTCTGGGTCTGCTCTCAGTGGAATTTAGAAGAATGAGGGCATCTTACAGAAAATGTAGACAGAGTGGACACGGAGAAAATGTTTTTACTAACAGAAGAGACTAGAAACCAAGGGCACAGCCTCAGAGGGGAGGGATGATACTTTAGAACTGTGATAAGAGGTTTCTTCAGCAAGAGAGTGGTTAATCTGTGGAATTGATTGCCACAGAAGACTGTACTGTAGAGGCCAAGTCATTGAGTCTATTTAAGACAGAGATAGATAGGTTCTTGATAAGAAAGGGTATCAAATGTTATGGGAAGAAGGTAGAGGTGGCACCGTGGCGAGCACTGTTGCCTCAGTGCCAGGGACCCAGGTTCGATTCCAACTTTGGGCCACTGTCTGTGTGGAGTTTGCACGTTCTCCCTGTGGCTGTATGGGTTTCCTCCGGGTGCTCTGATTTCCTCCCACGGTCCAAAGGTGTGCAGGCTAGGCGCATTGGCCACGCTAAATTGCCTGTAGTGTTCAGGGATGTGCAGGCTAGGTGCATTAGGAAAGGGAAATACAAAGTTACAGTGAAAGGGTAGGGGGATGGGTCTGGCTGCGGTGCTCTTCGCACAGTCGGTGTAGTTGTTGGACCGAATGGCCTGTTTCCACACTTGTGGGGATTCTATGATTCTAAGGTAGGAGAATGGGATTCAGAAACATTTCAGTCACGATTGAATGTTGGAGCAGACTCCAGATTCAATAGCTGAATTGCCTACTTCTGCTCCTATATCTTATGGAGTACTGATATTCTCTCTTTTAGAGACCTTACCTGCTCCAGAACAATTCTGGGGATGGAATGGACGAACAGAAGAGAGAAATGCTGTGATAATTGGGGGAGCCCTGACTTCCTCTGAAAAATGGGCTCCTCCTCTGAAAAAAGGACTGAGCAGGTTAATCCACACCTCACCTCTGCACTAGCAAGTCAGCTGAGATTGTGGGCCCCCAAGACCAACGACGCAGCAGTTATATTACTGGCAAAGTTCCATTGCTGTCCCATTGAAATAACCTATCACCAGCACTGGAAAGAAAAATTCAGTGGATTTAGCTTGTTTTCAATGTGAATATGTGAATTACAAATGTGAGAAGTAGGGCACATGGATTATACTCATCTGTCAAAACAGCAACCCTTTTCCCTATGTTTCAATTTCTGATTCTTTGTGAAACTATTTTATAAGCTTCCAAAATATAGTGCATAAAAAAATAAACCTTCTTTCTACCACATCATTGCAGACTTTAGAGTACAAGCTAGAATATTAACCTTTTTTAAAAAACTTTTTTTAATATACGAATCAAAAATACATCTTCACTTATCAGCAACTGGATTAAAGTGTAAATATACAAAAACGAGGACAGGGAAGGCAAGGGGGAGGGAGAAGGGGTGAAAAGTAGGGACAACACAAAACAGAAATTAAAATAATAAAACTGTCTCTCTTCACTCAGGGAGAAAAGTGATAGTGGTTTCAAAATTTTCCTCCAACAGAACTTGTTATTAGGGCAATAGAGTCTAACTGCTCTCTGTCACTAAAAGGAGGAGAATCAAGATTAGAAAATTGCTGTCTGCAATCAATGATCTTGTCCTTAATCAATGATGTTGGGACTTAACAGGAGAAGGATCCCTATGATACACTTCCCTGTGGTTGAACCCAGGCTGCTCTCTACTTGCAATAAGAGTTTATCAGGCTAGAAATGCAAACTGGTTAAAATGAAATATTTAAAGATACAGTTTCACTCTCTCATCCTGTGTCCTCTCCTGGAGCAGAAAGCTGTCCCTGAACAAGAAGTTCAGCATTCGGAGCGTGATTGGGTGGAGGAAAATAGGGGGAGGGCTCTCCTGGAGTTAGGAGACAGGTGGATCCTTTGTGTGTGACAAGTTGCTGCTTGATAGGAGGGACAGTGGGTCATCATCTGTGGGATCCAGGGTTAGGTTGTCTTCAGTCTGGAAGTACGGAGAATCTCCAAGCTCAAATAAGACCGGGAGGTCCCCTGTGTCACTGGTTTTGGTGTCTACCATTAGTAGAGGTGGGGCATTGTACTGGACAACTTGTTTTCCTAAACAAGGGGAGAAGGAGAGACACAAATTATTCGATTGCGCAGTGCAACTGACCGTGTGAATAGAACGGATTTCGTTATCACAGTGACACAGGACAGGTCACAGTCCACATTTACAAGGTTTACTTTCCAATCGGACTCACAGTAGAATTGTTTGTTTTTAAAGCGTATCTTCACACACGCTTATTTCTCCTTTGGGGAAAAGCAGGATAGATTCTCTTAGTATTCTGCTTATTTGTCCACTCAACAAAGTTATAAACAGTCCATTGTGGCTAACAAGCCCTGGCGTTGAACATGAACCCAGAGCTACTGGCCCAGAGGTAGGGACATTGTGTCAAAATCAGTGCATCTGGACTATAGAGAGGGTCATCATTCTGCAAACAAGTACATCAGGATTCCAATGCTCAGCTCCTGCCAGGGTGGTGATGATCCTGGCACTAGCTTGGATTAGTGATCCAGAGAGACAAGTTTAAATTCTACAACGGGAACTGGTGGACATGAAATACAACTGATGCATTTCTAATAAAAAGCTAGTAACATAAGAAATATGAACTGCAGGAGAACATCCAGCCCTTCATGTTAGCTTTCAATGAGATCATCGTTGATCTTCTACTCCAACACCATTTTCCTGCACTATTCCCATCTCCCTTGGTATAAATGCATCAAGAACAAGTGGGCACAGATTTAAAATAGGTCCGTGAAAGAAATAAACGTGATGCAAGACGAAACTTTTTCATACACCAAATGGTTCATGTATGGAATACACCGCCTGGAAATGTGGTAAAGATGGGGTCAATCGAGGCAGTCCAGAGGACAATATTTAAACTCAAATAACGTGCAGAATTACAAGAAATGGGCTGCAGAGTGGCCAGCACGGTAGCACAGTGGTTAGCACTGCTGCCTTACAGCACCAGGGACCCAGGTTTGATTCCAGCCTCGGGCGACTGTCTGTGTGGAGTTTGCACATTCTCCCCGTGTCTGCGTGGGTCTCCTCCGGTTTCCTCCCATAGTCCAAAGATGTGCAAGTTAGGTGGATTGGCCATGCTAAATTGCCCGTAGTGTTCAGGGATGTGTAGATTAGGTGGGTTATAAGAGGATGCTGTGAGGTTCGGTGTGGACTTGTTGGGCCGAAGGGCCTGTTTCCACACTGTATGGATTCTATGAGTGGCACTAAGTCATGAAGCTTGTTCAGAGAGCTAGTCTGAGCCTGATGGGGTGAGTGGCCTCCTTATGCACAATGTTTCTGCATTAACGTTAATACATAGAAATCTACCCATCTCAGTCTTGAACATGCCCAACAGTTGAGTCTCTAAAGCCCTCTTGGGAAGAATTCCAAAGATTCCCCACCAAGTGAAGAAATTCAAAAGAACAAAAGAGAAGTACAGCACAAGAACAGGCCCTTCGGCCCTCCAAGCCTGTGCTGATCATCATGCCCAAACTAAACTAAAAAAAAACCTTCTGCCCTTATTCAGTCCATATCCCTCTATTCCCACCCTATTCATGTAACCATCCAGATGCTTCTGAAATGTTGCCAACGTGCCTCTATCAGGTTCTCTCTCAGCCACTGGTTTTCCAGTGAAAGCAATCCTAGTCTTTTTAACCTTTCCTCAGAGCCAATGCCCTCAAGACCAGACAACTTCCTGGTGAATTTTCTCTGCACTCTCTCCAAAACTTCCATGTCCTTCTGGTAATGTGGCGACCAAAACTGCACACAATACTCCAAATGCGACCTAACAAGGGTTTGATAAAGCTGCAAGATGGTTTACAAGCTGTTGTTCTCAATGGCCCGGGCAACGAAGGCAAGCATGTCATATGCCTTCTTAATCACTACGGCCACCGTGTCGCCACTTTTAGGGAACTGTGGACCTGCACGCCCAGATCCAGCTGTATGTTAACGCTCCTAAGGGTTCTACCATTTATAGCAAAATTCACATCCAAATTTGATCCGCCAAAATGCATCACCTCGCATTTGTCTGGAATAAACTCCATTTGCTATTTCTGTGCACAAGTCGCCAATCTATCTACAACCTGTTGTATCCTTTCACAATCGTCAGCATTACCAGCAACTCCACCAATCTTCAGGTCATCTTCAAACTTACTAATCAGACCACCCACATTTTCCTCCAGATCATTTATACATAATACATGCAACACCGGATTTAAGGCTGATCCCTGTGGAACACCACTAGTTACCGGTGTCCATTCTGAAAAACACCCTTACACCACTACCCTCTGTCTTCTATGATCAAGTCAGTTTTGCATCAATCTAGCCAGCCCATCCCAAATCCCATGTGATTTTAGTTTTTGTACCAATCTGCCACATGAGACTTTATCAAATGCCTTACTAAAATTCATATAGACTACATCCACAGCCCTTCCCTCATCAATTATCGTCATTACCTCCTCAAAAAATTCAACTAGGTTGGTGAGACATGACCTTCCCCGTACAAAACCATGCTGCTTGTCACGAAGTAGTCTGTTTTCTTCCACATGTGCATACATCCTGTGCCTCAACATCTTCTCCAAGAGCCTCCCCAACACAGACATCAGGCTCACCCACCCTATAATTTCCTGGATTATCCCGGTTTCCTTTCTTAAACAAGGGAACAACATTGGCTAATTTCCAGTTCTCTGGAAGCTTGCCTGGGGTCAAAGAGGATGTGAAGATATCTGCTCATGCCCCAGCTATTTCTTGCCTTGCCTCTCGCAGCAACCTGGGATAGATCCCATATGGCCCTGGGTATTTGTCTATCTTAAGGAAAATTAGGACACCCAAAACTTCTTCCTTTAATATGGCGACATTCTCGAGAGTATTCACACACTCATCCCTGACCTCAACATCAGTCATGTCCTTCTCCTTGGTGAAAACCGATACAAAGTACTCATTAAGGATCTACCTCACTTCCTGTGGCTCCACGCATAACTTCCCTCCGTTGTCCTTGAGGGGACCTACTCTTTCCCTTGCTCCCCTCTTTCCTCAAACATATGCAGAAAAAGCCTTGGGATTCTCTTTTACTCTGTTTGCTGAAGACATTTCATGGCCCCTTTTAGCCTTCCTAATTCTGTGTTTAACTTCCTTCCTAATTTCTCCATACTCCTCTAGGGCTTTGTCCAATTGTAGCTGCCTGAACTGATTGTTTACTTCCTTTTTCCTTTTGACTAACCTTACAATTTCCCCTGGTCATCCATGGTTCCTGAATCCTGCCATTCCTATTCTTTAGTTATGCAGGGACATACATGTCCTGTATTTTAGTCAACTGGTCTTTAGAAGCCTCCCACATGCCAGACATACATTTGACTTCAAATTACTGCTCCCAATCCACATTCCCCAGTTCCTGAGTAAATTGGATGCAACTGGCCCTTTGCCCAATTAGTCACCCTCACCTGAGGGCCACTCTTGTCCTTGTCCGTGACTACTTGAAATCTTATGCAGTTACGGTCACTAAGCCCAAAATGCTCTCCCACTGAAACATCGATAACCTGTCTTGGCTCATTCCCTAATGACAAGTCTAGTATAGCCTCCTCTCTGGTTGGATTGTCAACATAATGTCTCAAAGCGCTCTCCTGGACACATCTAACAAACTGCTCTCCACCCGAGCCCCTGGCTCTAAGGGAGTCCCAATCAATACGAGGAAAGTTGAAGTTACCCACCACAACTACCCTGCTCTTTTCACATCTTTCCAGCATCTGACTGCATATCCGCTCCTGTGGGCTACTGGGAGGTCTACAGAAAACTCCCAACATTGAGATTTCATCCTTCCCATTCTTGAGCTTCCCCCATAATGCCTCACTGTAATATTCCTCCGATGTGTCCTCCCTCAGCACCGCTGTGACGTGATCCCTAATCAGTAGTGCAATTCCCCCATTCCTTTTGTTTCCCTTTCTGTCCTGTCTAAAACAGTGATATTCTGGAATGTTAAGCTGCCAGTCCTGCCCCTCCTCTAACCATATCTCCATAATGGGAATAACATCATAATTCCATACAGTAATCCATGCTCTTAGTTCATCTGTCCTGCCTGCTGTAGTTCTTGCATTGAAGTAAATGCATTCCAGTCCTCCAGTTCCTCGGAGTTCAGTGACTTCCCTCTGCCTCTCTTACTCTGTGCTGTGCACATCTCAGTCTCTTTTCTCCCCAGTCCCCACACTTGCTGGCCTGTTGTTCCGGTTCCCACACCCTTGCCACACTAGCTTAAAACCTCATGAAGAGCTCTAGCAAATTTCCAACCAGGATGTTAGTGCCCCTCCAGTTCAGGTTCAACCTGTTCTTGCTGTATAGGACCCACCTTCCCCACAAGCCATCCCAATGCTCCATATATCTAAAGCCCTCCCTCCTATACAAGCTCTGTAGCCATGTGTTCAACTGTACTCTGTCTCTGTTCCTAGCCTCATTAGCCCGTGAGGCAGGTAGTAATCCTGAGATTACTACCCTGGTAGTCCTGCTTTTTAGCTCCCTACGTAACTCTCTGAACTGTCCCCGCAGGACTTCTTTCTCCTTTCTACTAATTCCTCCTAATCTCAATTGTAAATGGCCTGTCTTTACTCTAAGACTTGCCTACTGGCGCTCTCAGTTGAATCTGCAAAGCCATGAGATGCACACATCCTGCATCTAGCCCGTACAGATTTTGTATCTTTGAATGAGATCACTTCTCATTTTTCTAAGTGCCAGAGAATATAGTCCCAGTCTATTTAACTTTTCCTCATAGAACAATCCTTCCATTAATTTGGTGATCCCTCACTATACTCCTTCCATTATCTTTAAATAGTTGCATGGAAGAAAACGACTTGTGCACTGGTGAAAAATAGACATATTTTGTTGAGGTTTTTCATCTTGTACGTATCAGGACAATTCATGAGAATACTAATTCAAGGGCAAATATTTATATGGCATGAAAGGGAGAATTCTAATTGTTTGGCAAGTGGACTGTGATTCAGAAAGATGTTGCCATGGAAAATACAACCATTCATGTCGATTAACAGTTAACTGCCAGGCTTGGTTTACATTTTAAACCAGGCAGGTGGACTCTGATTGGTCAAGGCATTGTCCTGAGAAATGACCCAGTGAATGGCTGTCACTTATTGTGTCAAGTTGAAACTGGTGCAGTGTATGTACACGTTCTTTGTGTTGTAATGAACAGGTTCCTGATGTATCCATATCATGGCTGGCATTCTACAGGAGTTACACTTCCCTCACTATCCACAAATCTATCAGTGTCGGACATGAATCTACTAAACAACTGGGCTGCCATGAACCTCTGGGGTAGCAATTTGCAAAAGGTTCACAACCATGAGTAAGGGACTCTCTCACCTTAGTCCTAAATGGTTGTGTCCTTCTTCTGAGTATGTTATCCCAGATCTAAATTCCCCAACCAAGGGAAACATTTTGCCACGATCTATCTTGTCAAGATCCTTAATCTTCTATGTTTCATTAAGATCACCTCCCAATCAGCTCCAGGCTCATTCTATTTGCTTACACTTATGCCAACCCAATCATCTTTTTGGAAGGTAGGAAGAAGGATTAAAAAGACATGTATAAAGAAGTAAATTGAGAACATAACTGGAAACCAACACACTTGCCTTACAGTCAGGCATTTGTAGATTAGTGCACCACAGTAAATCGATTTATATCTCTATTGCTCGGAATAAAACTAGAGTTTGGCAAGATCAAGAATACAAAATTTCTGACTAAATCTGCAATATTTGAACATGAACAGAGAGGTCCCACAGTGAACCTGGTAAATGTTAATGCCACAAGTAATTCACTTTCAAAACAGATTCCTGTATTACTGTGGTTTATAGGATTCTGCTGTGTGCTACATTTGCCTCTGTCAAGACCTGAAAAGTATTTTGGCGGCTGTGAAGTTCTTTGAGATTTCACAGGGATGAGAAAGAAGTCAGGTAAGTGCAAGACATTTTAACTCAGAGCGGACAGCATTTGGGGAAATACTCTCGGTCTAGGTTTAAGAAGATTTTGCAAACTCCCTTTAAATTACCTGCCTCCAAAGTGCTTGTCGCCGAACCTTTCTGATCCTGACAGCCCATCATATCTTGCATCTGCAAAGTTAATTAGCAGAGAGAGGTAAAAAGAAGTTAGTAATTTGGGAAGATTGATAAAACACTTGCTTTTGTCAAATAAACGCAATTCCCAATTCCTTCGCCTCCGCCGCATCTGCTCCCAGGATGAGGCATTCCACTCCCGTACATCTCAGTTGTCCTCGTTTTTCAAGGACCGTAACATCCCCCCCTCAGTGGTCGAGCACGCCCTCAACCGTGTCTCCCACATCTCCCGCAGCTCATCCCTCACACCCTGTCCACGCAATAAAAACCAAAAAAGAATCCCCCTCGTCCTCACGTACCACCCCACCAACCTCCGGATCCAACCCATCATCCTCCGACACTTCCACCATCTGCAATCCGACCCCACCACCAAAGACATCTTTCCCTCCCCACCCTTATCTGCTTTCCGGAGGGACCACTCTCTCCGTGACTCCCTTGTCCGCTCCACACTCCCCTCCAGCTCCACCACACCCGGTACTTTTCCCTGCAACCGCAGGAAGTGCTACACCTGCCCCCATACCTCCTCCCTCACCCCCATCCCAGGCCCCAAGAAGACTTTCCACATCAAGCAGATGTTCACCTGCACATCTGCCAATGTGGTATACTGCATCTGCTGTACCCGGTGTGGCTTCCTCTACATCGGGGAAACCAAGCGGAGGCTCGGGGACCGCTTTGCAGAACACCTACGCTTGGTTCGCAATAAACAACTGCACCTCCCAGTCGCGAACCATTTCAACTCCCTCTCCCACTCCTCAGACGACATGTTCATCCTGGGTCTCCTGCAGTGCCACAACGATGCCACCCGAACGTTGCAGGAACAGCAACTCATATTCCGCTTGGGAACCCTGCAGTCCAATGGTATCAATGTGGATTTCACTAACTTCAAAATCTCCCCTCCCCCTACCGCATCCCAAAACCAGTCCAGCTCGTCCCCGCCTCCCTAACCTGTTCTTCCTCCCACCTCAAGCTGCACCCCCATCTCCTACCGACTAACCTCATCCCGCCTCCTTGACCTGTCCGTCCTCCCTGGACTGACCTATCCCCTCCCTAACTCCCCACCTACACTCACCTTTACTGGCCCCATCCCCGCCTCTTCGACCTGTTTGTTTCCTCTCCACCTATCCTCTCCTCTATCCATCTTCGATCCGCCTCCCACTCTCTCCCTATTTATTTCAGAACCCCCTTCCCCTCCCCCTTTTCTGATGAAGGGTCTAGGCCCGAAATGTCAGCCTTTCTGCTCCTATGATGCTGCTTGGCCTGCTGTGTTCATCCAGCCCTACACCTTGTTGTCTCGGATTCTCCAGCATCTGCAGTTCCTACTATCTCTGCTTTTGTCAAATGCTTACTTCAGAGTAATGCTCATAACAGAGCCTCCCAAAACAGAGCCTCCTAAAACAGAGGAATCAGGAACCTTGCTTGTTGTAGATTAATGGCGAACAAGAGTTACGTGTGACAAGAACCATCACCGTTTCTCTCCACAGACACTGCTAAATCTATTTAAAACCAAAAGACACTTTCCTTTCATTTCAAATTTTCAGGATTCACAGTATTGCGCTCTAACCATATTGTTTTCTCTGATGGGAAAGATCCCACAGTACTGAACTACAGCTTTCACACTGATTGTAATGGGAAAGTCTGATTCATTTGAGATCATTTCACTAAATGTAGCCCTTCTCTAGAACAGAAGTAGAATAATGAACAAGGATTACTCCACTTACTTCTGCTAGGTTCCCCTCCACATCTGGCAAGTTCAGGTCAATGGCAGACAGCGAGGGGTTAAACAGCTGCAGAAGAAAGAAAACAAAGCTAGTTTCCAAACTTCTACCTAAAGACAGGAAAACAGTTCCCTCTGTTGACCAAACGGATAAAAGATACCATATGATATGCACAGAAATACACAGCCAGTCTGCCACCAGGAAGATCAGGAGCTTCAATTCCCCCTCAACACTAACTCAGTTGTTCCTGTAGCAAAGTCTATTCAAGTAACACTGTCTCAGATTTTGCTTTACATCTACTCATGTTTTGTCACTTCTTGATAAGTGTGCACAGAAATAATTTTAATTTAGAAGGAGTGGCCACTGACTTTTTCTTTGATTTAATGACTATGAACATTCATGCCGAATTGTCCTCGACAAAGTGGGGTGAACCAGCTTCTTGAAGACAACTAAATGGTTAAGGGTCATGCTGCAAATCTGCATTCACATATCAGCCAGACTGGCCAGTTTCCTTTCTTAAAGGACATTAACAAACCAGATGGATTTTTACAACAGGCTGATAGGTTAATGGTCCTCATTACTTATACTAGGCTTTTATTCCATATTTATGTAATTATATTCAAATTCCAGTCCAGCAGCTGGGAGAATTAAATTCCCAGTTCACAACCGAAGCAAACTCACATCTAAGAGCGTGCCGGATTCCATATTGAAAGTCTGTCCTGATAGCAAGTTCTGTAGGTTATCCAAACTCGAATCAATTCTATCCAAGTGATTGTAGATATCATTTCTGCAGAATGAAAGAAAATGAAAAATAATACCTTAAAACAGTATAAATTAAAGTAAGACATTTCCTGTTCCATTTACTGCATCATTACTGCCTATCACCTTTTCAAAAGAATTCCAGGAAGGCAGGGGGGATAAAAGTATAAGGTATGTGTCTTCTTATTTTTGTTTTTTCAAAAGTGGAGACTGAAATGAGAGACAGCTGTTTTATAAACTAGTGTTTGAAAGAGTGGCAGCAGTTTTGAAAGCAAGTAACATGATTCCCATGGCAGGCATTGTAAACAACTGTTTGAACAAGCAGTAAGTGAAGTTCATTTAGCAGAGGGTCTGGAGCCAATGGTGTGTAATGATGCAGCTCTTGTTGAAAAAACTAAGCCGATTGATAACTGTCACTTGTTCCACAAACCAATGACAGAGATCTTTCACTTGCCAACATCTGAGAGATTCGTTCTGGAGTGGCCGAGCAGCTTGGAGCTGGAAACAAGTTAGAGTCACAGAGAGAGGAAAAGCAGCTCTGTTCTCTGCAAAGTCTCAGTTTAAACCTGAAGAAAACTAGTTAGCTTTCCTGCAGCAGGTCCTGGAAGCTGTAACTTTTAAATTGATAAATCAGAGGCATTTTCCAAATGAATTAGTTACTTCTTACAAACCAGTGGTACCATCCAGAGAAAGACATCTGAACCAAGGATCTGGCCAACTGAAAAGGATCATCCTAATATTGGAATCAGGAAAAAAGAACTGACTTTCCAGCTTTTCTATGTTCTCCAATAATCTATTTTCCCTAAATAAAAACCTGAAGAACCCTGGATAACTCTGTTTCTCGCTACACAGGTGCTGCCAGACCTGCTGAGCGTCTCCATCAATTTCTGTGTTTGTTTAGATCTGTTTAGCTGCAGCTAGAATCTAATTATTTGTAATAAATAGTAATTCTTGGTTTGTACTGAAATCTGGCCCATGGTTTCGATCAACCCTGGTCTGTGAAAGTCAGGTAAACTGAGGCACTGTGCATACTATAGAAACAAAACCGAATATTTAGGACTCCGGGAATAGGGAGGCTCAATTTTACAGCATGGCACCCAGGGGGTTGCAACAAAAGCCAACAATGAATTTAAAAAACACAATAGCTGTACCATAAATTTCAACACCTCTTCCACTTAAACATTTGAAAGTGATCAAAGGTGTGGGAGGCAGAGCTGTTCACCAGCCTCAGGCTGCACTTATCCCTCCTTTGGGGAGCAACCTGGTAAACGGCTGCATCGTCTTTGCATTAGCACGCCTGAGAGTTGGAACACCACAAGTGGAGGAAATCAACTTTACTAGATCTCTCAGCATATAACGCTACTAATAAGTTGGCCAGTTCAAAGTGATTTAATGAATGAGTTTTCATTCAGATATTACTCTTTGAGTCAGCATCATGTCAGAAGTTGAATTCCCTCCAATTTCATCAGGAGGCCACTATTCACTCAGCTTTGGATCAGTCACCTCTTTACATAGTGTTTAGAGCTAGACCATGTCACCAGTCACTAAACAAAAACAAGAACACACACACTCAATCTGAACAGAACCACTGTAAAGAAAAACAACACACAAAGACAGAGAAACAGAGTGGGTAGAGGGAATGAGAGGAAGAAAAATAGAGGGTGAGAAAGTTAGACAGTGAACGAGACACATAGCAGCATACAGAGAACTGGAGAGGTGCACATACACATGGAGACAAAAACAAATGCATAGAGAAAGGCTCATAAAAGCAAAGAATAAAAGAAATGCCAGTTTGACAGAGAGTTACAGAGGGATTTACATCCACATATACAGTCATACAGCACGGAAGCAGACCCTTCGCTCCAGCTTATCTGTGCTGACCAGACATCACAATCTGACCGAGACTCATTGCCAGCATTTGGCCGATGTCCCTCTAAACCCTTCCTATTCATTCGCCCATCCAGATGCCTTTTAAATATTATAGTTAAACCCGCATTCCACCACTTCCACTGGCAGCTCAATCCATCCATGCACTACCCTCTGCATAGAAAAAGTTATCCCCCCAAGAGGTTCCTTTTTAGATTTCTCCACTCACCTTAAACCTATGTTCTCTAGTTTTGGAATCCCCCACCCTAGGAAAAAGAGCTTAGCTATTCACCCTATCCATGCACCTCATGATTTTATAAACCACTATAAGAACATAAGAACTGGGAGCAGGAGTAGGCCGTCCGGCCCTTCGAGCCTGCTCCGCCATTCAATAAGATCATGGCTGATCTTTTCGTGGACTCAGATGCACTTACCCGCGTTCTCACGGGTATCCCTTAATTCCTTTATTGTTCAAAAAAAAATCTAGCTTATCTTTAAAAACGTTTACTGAAGTAGCGTCAACTACTTCACTGGGCAAGGAATTCCATAGATTAACAACCCTCTGGGTGAAGAAGTTCCTTCTCAATTCAGTCCTAAATCTGTTCCCTCTAATCTTGAGGCTATGCCCTCTTGTCCTAGCTTCACCTGCCAGTGGAAACATCCTCTCTACTTCTATCTTATCTATTCCCTTCATAATTTTATATGTTTCTATAAGATCCCCCCTCAATCTTCTGAATTCCAATGAATATAATCCCAATCTACTCAGTCTCTCCTCATAAGCCAACCCCCTCAATTCCGGAATCAACCTAGTGAACCTCCTTTGCACCCCCTCCAGTGCCAGTACATCCTTTCTCAAGTAAGAGGTCACCCCAGGAAAAATGCTCCAGCCTACTCAGCCTCTCCCTATAACTCAAACCCTCCAGTCCCAGCAACATCCTTGTAAATCATTTCTGCACCCTCTAAAGTTTAACAACATCCTTCCTACAGAAAGGGTGACCAGAATTGTAGGCAGTATTCTAAAAGCAGTCTCACTAATGTCCTGCATTGCTGCAATGACATCCCAATTCCTGTACTCAAATGTTCTGACCACTGGAGGCAAGCGTGCTAAATGCCTTCTTCACCACTCTGTCTACCTGCAACTCCACTTTCAAGGACTATGCACCTGCACCCCTAGGTCTCTTTGTTTGGCAACACTCCCCAGGGCTTTTGCATTAGTGTACAAATCCTGTCCTGGTTTGTCTTTCCAAAATGCAACACCTCACATTTATCTAAATTAAACTCCATCTGCCACTCCTCAGCCCATTGGCCCATCTGATCAGGGTCCTGGTGTACTCGGAGATTATTTTCTTCATTGTTCACTACACCGCTTATTTTGGTGTCATCTGCAAACCTACTAACCATACCTCCTACATGCACACCCAAATCATTTATGTAAATGACGAAAAGCAACAGACCAGCACCAATCCTTTGGTCACAGGCCTCCAGTCTGAAAGACAACCCTCCACCACCACCTTATGTCTGCTACCTTTGATCCAATTTTGTATCCAATTGGCTAGCTCCCCAGGATCCTAAAGGTTCTAACCTTACTAACCAGTCTACAATGCGGAACCTTGTCAAACACTTTGCTGAAGTCCACATAAACAATGTCTACTGCACTGCCTTCATCAATCTTCTTGTCACCTCTTCAAAAGACCATACTAAGCTATGATGCATCTGGATAGGATGTTTTCTATGGTGCATCGATAAAAATTGCCAATGGGACACGCCAAATTTCCTTAGCCTCCTGAGGAAGTAGAGGCATTGGTATGCTTTCTTGCCATAATGTCGACGTGGATGGACCCAGACAGATTGTTGGCAATATTTATTCCTAGGAACTTGGAACTCTTGACCACATCTGCCTCAGCACCATTGATACAGTGGTCCACTTCCTGAAGTCGATGACCAGTTCCTTTGTTTTGCTGACGTTGAGGGAGAGATTGTTGTCTTTGCACCATGTCACCAAGCTGTCTATCTCTTTGCCGTACTCTGTCTCATCGTTGTTTAAGACCGGACCCAGTACGTTGGTGTCATCAGCAAATTTGTAGATAGAGTTAGAACAGAATTTGGCCACATAGTCATGTATAGGGAATGTAGGGGCTGAGTAAGCAGCCTCGCGGGGCACCGGTTTTGAGGATTATTGCGGAGGTGATGTTGAAGCCTATTCTTACTGATTGCAGTCAGTGGGTCAGGAAGTCAAGGATTCAGTTACAAAGAGGGGAACAGAGTCCTGTGTCTCAGAGTTTGAAGAGGAGTTTGCATCTTTGCATTCTACAGCTTTGATGAAGGGCAAATTCGGAAGCATTCCATCCATTTAATGGATGCTATTTGTTTTTGCCACTTTCTAATCGTGAATCATTGCAACCCAGCAATTTTAGCAGAAATCTCTTGGTAGTACCTTAACAATTTTGGTGTTTTGACACAACATTGAGCTGTTTTGTCCCATAAACGTCCACATCAATTAGATGTTGGAAATCTTTGTTGGACTTAGGGCTTTATTTGGCCCACATTTTAGGATATATTTAGAGATAACTTTTAAAAAGCAACGTGAACTTCCAATTAATGATTGCAAGGATGGTACTCCAATATTTTATAGTTTTAAAATGTTTACTATCGTGAAAAGACTCAAGCCTAAGTAATTAAACACTATTATTGTCGGCAACTTACACATCAAATTACAGAAAGCAATACCTTTTTGTTTTAAACCGCAACAACACTCAACAAGTACACTGAACACTGTCCTTTAAGTGGACATTCAATGCCCCTATAAATCAGTCCAAAATGATTCTTAACTTTGAGACTTTTTTCCCATTTATCTATCTCATAACATCTAGCTGGAGAACTGTGCTTTGTAGAAAGTGTATCACTGGAGATCTTCCTTCTGGTGTGAGATAGATAAATCTTTGAACCTCATTTTAATTTGTTTGAATTTAAAAAATAAAAAAAATTCAAGCTCGAGCTTCCACCCAAATTCTGGCAAGTTGAGCCATACAGCCTTCAGACTTTCCTGCAGTTCTGTCAAGTTAGCACAATCTTAAGGCTGGGTCCTGAAGGGACCAACTCAGACAGAAATGAAAAAGGCTGAGTTAGACAAAATTTTAAGGAATCAAGCGATATGGGATAAGGCAGAAAAATGGAGTTGACGATTATCAGAATAGCTATGATCTCACTGAATGGCACAGCAGACCCAAATGGGCTGAATGATCTACTTCTGCTCCTATGTTTGTATAATAATTACAAACAGATTCTAGACGGAATGGGCTGATTAGCATTTATTCAATCTGGACTTGCCTGAATTAAAAATAAAAAGGGCAAATATTTATTTCAGCTTCAAATGGTTAGTAAAGCTGTGATAAACATCTAAAAACATTGTTCGCTGGAATGGTTGTTAGTGTGTAACTGAACCATGGAGAACAGAGAGCCCAGTGTTTGATACAAAATCAAAAATTCCAAGCAAGGCAGCAAGAAGGGTTGTACCAGTTTCCCTTCGGGCTTGGTTGGGTGCTGATAGGAATAAAAGTGATGATGCTGTGGCTTTAAGAGAGTATTTTGGCCTATTTTGTTTAAAGAGAGATTGATGAGAGATGTAGAGCTGTCTTTACGAAAATAAACAGCTTGTGAGGCCTTGGGTTTTTTAAGATGGTTGGAAAAATGGAAGCAGTCTGGATGGGTATGGCCAGCTCTCTCAGACCAGGTTTTCCAGGTTTGTTTTAGTTTTTAGGTTTAGTTTTAAGCAGTTGCTGCTGTGGGCTTGAAGAAGTAGAGCTATCTTTTCCTTCTTTCAGTTATAGCTAGAAACTGAGGTTTCGCTCTGCTGTTGGGTTACCCATGAGACAGAACTATTCTTCTGTATTTTCCATTTTGCCAAAGGGTGTGTTTATGGAATGTTACTATATTGGAACAGTTAATTAGTAATAGTTACTGTATCTATTGTTAAGTTTTCCAATAGAGTAAAGTTATTCTAAATTCTCTCTTTGGTTGGATTTTTAGTATAGTGTTTGAATAAACTGTGCTTTGCTTAATGTTGAGTAGTCATCAAATTACATCTGGAACACAGCATGTTACATCTGCCTGTAAAATTAGAAAATTAGGGTCTAGGCTACCTCCTTAAAATATTTTGAGGGGGTCTGATCTGATCACTACCTATTGATTCCTAATTAAAAAGGAAAGAATGGACACTGGGCAGTGCCCACAGAACTGTCCCCAGCAAGGCTGAGCGATGAAGATGAGGAAAATCATTGGCTAATGAAGAGAAACCACAGGTGAATTAAAAGTTATGGGTCCACATCAGACACCAAACCCTCGAAGCTACACTGAGGAGGTATAATGTTAACTCTGTCTCTCTCCAGAGGCTGCTAATCCATGCGGAGTTTCTCCAGCACTGTGTGTATTTTAGCTTTCCAGTATCTGCAGTATTTTGCTTTAATTACTCTTTTGTCTGGTTGTGTAATTTGTTGCAATCATGTGAAATTTGTCATTCTATCTGTCCTGATGAGTGCAAGACAACATGCTTTGGTAACTTGATTTCCTATTGCTAAAAGGAGATGCATCATTTCGCAAAACGACAGTTCCCATTCAAATCATCTCCCAGCAAGTGATAGGAAAGAAATAGTGCCACAGGTACTGAAAGATTTCTATTGGAAGGAACGAGGTGACAGAATGCCAGTATTAAGAATTAGGGTGGGGAAGAAATGGTTGTATGTAAGACAGAAGACGACGACTGCTAACATGACACCAGGTTACAGTCCAACAGGTTTATTTGAAAACACAAGCTTTCGGAGACTTACTCCTTCTTCAGGTGTTAGCGAGAGAGGTAGTATCAGACACAGAATTCATAAGTAAAAGATCAAACGGTCACACCATTGATGAGGATTATTAAACAAACCTAAAATGCTGTTAAATCTTTAATCAGTTATAAGGTTTTAATTGATTAATATGTATATGTAAATCCCTGAATTCTTTCAAGTCACTGTCCTGAGACAACTAAAGGTTTTATTAGTGTAAGGAAGAGGTGACATTTTAGGTCAGACAATGCATGTTAGGTGTGAGGCCTTGTTTAGAAACTGTTTGTGTTTTGGTTTGGAGTCAGACTCGTATTTCTAAAGTAGGAATTTATAAGATGCCACATTGACTGACTGTCTATAAACTGTGTGCTTTTTGAACAAAATAGAATGTATCTGCAAATACAAATTCACCCCATAGATTCACATGTGCGAGCGCATGCGGGAGTGCATGTGTGTGTGCAGGGGAGAGTGACTGTGTGCATGTCCAGACGCTATGACAACGGATGAATGGACACTGTACAACAAATCGCTAGACAGGGATGTTTCCTCCCCATGGGGGAACACTTCAGCAGATCTTTGGGTAAACGTCCTCCAAGGCAGAGTTTGGGAGACACAACAACGTAGAGTCGCTGAGCAGAGGCTGATAGCCAAGTTCGGTACCCACGAGGACGGCCTCAACTGGAATTTTGGGTTCATATCACACTTCCGGTGACCCCACCACACTATACACTCACTCTCTCTCATTCACACACACAAACACACATTTCACGAGAGAGGATCTGTGAGTGTGTGAGTGAGCGAAAGTGTGGTGAGGTTATCCGTAGTGCAACATGAACCCAAGATCCCGGATGAGGCTGTCCTCATTGGTACCGAACTTGGCTGTCAGCCTCTGCTCGGTGACTCTGCTGTTGTGTATCCTGAAGTCTGCCTTGGAGGGCGTTTACCAGAAGATCCGAGGCTGAATGTTCTCGACCAGTGAAGTGTTCCCCCATGGGGAAGAAACATCCCTGTCTGGCGATTTATTGTGCGTTGTCCATTTATCTGTTGTTGTAGTGTCTATACACGCAGACAAACACGAAAATCTATGGGGTGAATCTGTATTTGCAGATACATTCTATTTTGTTCAAAAAGCACACAATTTATAGATAATCAGTGTGGCGTTTTATAAATTCCTACTTTAGAAATAAAACCAGTCTGACTCCAAACCAAAACACAAACAGAATCTAAACAAGGCCTCACACCTAACATGCACTGACCTAAAATGTCACCTCTTCCTTACACTGATAAAACCTTCAGTTCTCAGGACAGTGACTTGAAAGGAATTCAGGGATTTACATATACATATCAATTAAAACCTTATAACTGATTAAAGATTTAACAGCATTTTAGGTTTGTTTAGTACATTCTCATCAGTGGTATTTTTTCTTTATTCATTCAGAAGATGGAGGGTATTGCTGGCTAAGCCAGCATTTATTGCCCATCCCTAATTGCCCAGAGGGCAGTTAAGAGTCAACCACATTGCTGTGGGTCTATAGGCCAGACCAGGTAAGGAGCAGTTTCCTTCCCTAAAGGACATTAGTGAACCAGATGGGTTTTTCCTGACAATCGACAATGGATTTGTGGTCATCACTAGAGTCTTAATTCCAGATATTAACTGAATTCAAATTCCACCATCTGCCATGGCAGGATTTGAACTCGGGTCCCCGGAATATTATCTGGGTCTCTGATTAACAGTCCAGCAATAATACCACTAGGCCATTGCCTCCCCTCTATAGGTGTGATCCTTTGATCTTTTACTTACAAATTCTGTGTCTGATACTACCTCTCTCACTAAAACCTGGAGGAGGAGTGAGGCTCCGAAAGCTTGTGTTTTCAAATAAACCTGTTGGACTATAACCTGGTGTTGTGTGATTTCTGACTTTGTCCAACCCAGTCCAACACCGGCACCTCCACATCATGACACATGGTCAGCAAGCTGAATGTGGAACAATATTCATTTTAACTCTAATTCTAATCTAAAAAAATTAATCCACCTTTAAGTATTGAAGTGATCAAAATTGGCTAGTTTTAAGTAGAAATTAAAAAGACCTTGGTGGGGAATGTCCTAAACTCTGTAGCTGTGCACTCTGTCAGCGTAACAGCACGTATAAAAATTTATTTTGTGCAGCTCTGGCTGACCAACATTCATGCCCTTGATCAACACTGTCAAAAGCAGTGGCACTCATTTTATGGCTACCTGTAGGAGGACCCTGTCCATATAACTGTGAACCCATTTGAAAAGTAACTAGCATGCTATAATTAAAAAATCATTCTCAAGAGCTGTCAAACAACAGTGCTTATGTCTGACACTTAGCTTGGAACTAAAAAAAAAACAGGGCAGAACTCCTACAGGCTGCTCATTTGCTCACTCAACAGATCCAGTTGTATTTCACATTGTAATAGCCTATGGATCATAGAGTCACTATGCTACAACATGCAGAAGAGAGCAGTCAGAATACATTAAACACAAACAAATAATACATTTTGCAGAACATTGAATACAATTTAAAAAATCCACACAACACAGGAAAGCTGCTTTTTCTCTTGATAATACATCACCGTGTCCAGTAGAAATTGGGAAATAAATCTGCATTGCTCTCAAATAAGGCAATAAAACATCAATGCACCTGTGGGGCAGAAATTTTCAAGTCCCTTTACACTCAGCAATGCGATCAAAAACTTTTATTCACTTAGACTGCCTGAAAAGACTTTGTCAAAGTGGTTACAGGCCTATCACTTGTGCAGGAACGGGATGGTGAGTTGAGGGAGCTTACAGGCTTGAACGCTAGTCATCCACCCCACCAGCCCCCCTTTCCTCGGTTATGGGCAAATAAAATGATCGATCAAGCACAAGGAAAATACTTGCTCCCAGGCCTGCTCTGGGTGGAATATTTACACCAAGACACGTTGTGCATATCAGGGAGACAGCAGTGTAATAGAAATGCTAACCCTATCAGTGGTCTGGGGTGAGTAGAGGAGGAAAGACTGGAGATAACACAATTGACCTCTGACATCTGCTGGGCTTGAATCAAACTGAAAAATAGAAACAGAAGATCATGCTAGGCACTGCTAGAGACAGCAGCACAGATTTCCCAAATCCCACTTTTTTTAAAAATACCACATCCAAACACTAACTTTACTACAGTAATTCAAGCTTGAAGTAAAAAAAGATGCACAATATGTATTTATTTAAAGGTGGCTTGAGAGTTAATGCAAAAGGTCCAGGTATTAGATTCTTTGGGTTACTTAGGCATTGACCACAGGTCTTTTGGGGCCACATGCAAAATTCAAATCCTATCCCATTAATTCTTACACACCTTTGCTGCTGAGTTAGGGAGTCCCCACTCAATGAGGCAGCAGTATTCAGGAAAACCATTACCAAAACTCCACAGGAAAACCAGCAAGACGAAATACAAGTATAACAGGTACACAGATCACTGAAAGTGGCAAAGCAGGTGGAGAAGGTAGTCAACAAGGCATACGGCATGCTTGCCTTCATCGGCCGGGGCACTGAGTTTAAAAATTGGCAGGTAATATTGCAGCTTTATAGAACCTCAGTTAGGCCGCATTTGGAATACTATGTTCAATCCTGGTTGCCACACTACCAGAAGGATGTGGTGCCTTTGGAGAGATTTACCAGGATGTTGCCTGGTATGGAGGGCATTAGCTATGAGGAGAGGTTGGAAAAACTTGGGTTGTTCTCACTGGAATGACCGAGGTTGAGGGGTGACCTGATAGAGGTCTACAAGATTATGAAGGGCATGGAACAGTGGACAGTCAGAAGCTTTTTCCCAGGTGGAAGTCAGTTATTAGGGGGCATAGGTTTAAGGTGCTAGGGGCAAGAGTTAAAGGTATGTATGAGGCAAAATTTTTTTTGTTTACACAGAGGGTGGTGGGTATCTGGAACTCACTGTCGGTGGAGGTAGTGGAAGCAGATACCATAATGACTTTTAAAGGGCATCTTGACAACTACATGAATAGGATGGGAATAGAGGGATACAGTCCCCGGAAGGGTAGAGGGAGTTTAGTTGTGATGGGCAGCATGACGGTGCAGGCTTGGAGGGCCAAAGGGCCAGTTCCTGTACTGTAATTTTCTTTGTTCTTTGTAACAGGATACAGTTGCCTCGGCTTCTAACGTTGGTCAACTAGGATGTGTGGGCTGAACACGCAAAGGTTGTTGCAGGTTTTGGACTTATTTGTGGCCAGCAAAAAAAAAAAAAATGAGGAAGTAATGTGACTGACAAATATTACCTGTCGTATCTGTGAGCAATTACAAGCAGCGCACTTATTCAATTTAAACGGGAGTGCTGTCAACTAACAGTTGTGCTCTTGTAGTTCAGTGAACGGATTGGTATGCAAAAGCAAACAAACAAATGAGCATGGATTTATAAACAAGCTAAGGGAGAAATTTGGGGACATGAGGGCTGGAGTCAAAGCACACCACAGCCATGAAAGTCCCACAAACCAAGGGCATAGTGTAGCGATTATAATGAGGTCAGCCAAGTGGATATCACAGAACAGGAGTTCCCTGGTCGGGGCCGTTAACCTGGTTTAATCAGTGAGCCCTGGCTGACAAATATAAACAGGAGTCTCAGACACACCCTCTTTACTCCAAGAGCTGGCTGTGAGGAAGCCAGACCAGTGCCAAGTACTATGCACATTCAAGTAAAGGGTGACTTGGTGACAGGATACTGGTCTCTGTGGACTTATTTCACATAGGTTAGGGCTTTTTCAAACTGTGGGTTTAGACCCCAGAGGGGTCACACGCCGAACTTCTGGTTTTAAGACTACAATGGTTATAATGAGTCTCCAGCTGAGCACTAACAGCTGAGCACCCCTTGGAATCCTTGCATTTTTACAATAGTGGGTGCAGCTTAACTGGCTGATCTTTGAGGGTGAATTCCTGTCCTGGAAAATCCAGGCAAAGGTGCTTTCATATAAAAATAACTCTTCAGTCTAAGCAGCTCCCTTACATAGGGGATGGTGATGGCCTAGTGGTATTATCACTAGACTATTATTCCAGAGACCCAGGCAATATCCTGGTGACTCGAGATCAAATCCTGCCATGGCAGATAGTGAAATTTGAGTTCAAATAAAAAAAAAAGCTGGATGACCATGAATCCATTACTGATTGTCAGGAAAAACCCATGTAGGTTTTCTATTTAGGAAAGGAAACTGCCATCCTTGCCTGACCTGGCCCACATTTGACTCCAGATGCACAGTAATGTGGCTTCCTCTTAAACTGCCCTCTGGGCAATAAATGCTGGCCTAGCCAGCGATGTCCTCATCCTGAGGATGAGCAAGCGAAAAAAAAACCTTCTCCCTCCCTTCCCTACTCACTGTTTTGGGGCTACGGCAACTTTCAAGTAGCAAAATGGAGTCACAATGGGAAAAGCACTGGCAATGAAGAGGAGTGCACATTAGACATAATGCACCATAGGTTTTTTCTAAAAAAAAAAAAAGGTTCAGTTCAAAGTAGCAATTTTATTGCTTTTAGAAACAAACTTTTGAATATAACTACCTCTCTACCAATGACTGTGTGCCTCAGGCTCCCCAGATAGATGACTCTCTAGATTATGTTCTCAGAGGACAGCAAAGTAGAAACATCCTCCCTGTCAATGATCTAATGAAGGTGAGAAATTCTGTAGATGTAAGGTTAATTCTAAATGTGGATCATCAAGAGTCCCTACTTAAAACCAAAACAGACAATCAAATTCATGTAGTTATACAACACAGGAAGCCACTTGGCCCACTGTGCTGGCTCTTTGAAAGAGCTACTCAATAAGTCTCACCTCCCCATTGACCTCCCACAGCCCAGTGAAGTATAACCTCTTCAATTTATCCAATTCCCTAGGAACGGCAACCACCCTAATGCATGCTGTGCTAAAAAGAAATTCCCCATGTTACTAATTAATGAAATAGGTGAGGGGACTGACAGCTATCCACTATTCAGTTTGGACCCCTGCTTCAAACATGTTATGCCACAGTCAAATTAGCAAAGTAACTGTTCCCTTGTTTCTGTAATTTTTGAATAATTGAGAGAAAGGAATAGTAGGGGGAAGAAAAGGGCTTGTCAGGGCTGTGATTTTATTGGTCAGTGAGTATCTACTGCGAGTCTCTGTGCACAAGTAGACACAGGAGGAGCTGATGGAAACATTGAAAATTGGAACAGGAGTAGGCCATTTGGCTCCACCATTCAATATAATCATAGCTGACCATCCTACTCAGTACCCTGTTCCTACTTTCTATCTATACCCTTTGATCCACTTAACCATAAAAACGATAGCTAACTTCTGGAAAAAACTGAATGCTTTGACCTCAACTGCATTCTGTGGCAGAGAATTTCACAGGGTCACCAGCCTCTAAGGTGAAGAAATTCTCATCTCAGCTCTCAGTGATTTGCGAGTAAGGTTCATGTCTCCAGTCATTAATAAATAGTCCAAGTGAGGATCTAAAGGCATAGCAGGGCAGTTCAGTCATGTGGAATGTCCATCCTGCGGCATGTGGAGAATCATGGACATCACATGACTGAAATGAACATGTATAGAGGATATATCACCTGGTGCAGGAACTCAAGGTCAAGGTTTTCAAACTTGAGCAACAGTCAGAATAATTATAGTGCAGTGCTGAAGGTCAGAACTTGTGGCTCACACTTATAGAAGTGGTCATATTAGAGGTTAGAATGCTGCAGGCAGAAAAGGAATGCATGACTATCATGGAATCCAAGTATTGGGCACATTGTGCAGGTGGCCCAGATGGTATCTCGCTGACTAACCAGTTTTCCATTTTGAATATGGTAACAGTGGCAGATCCTCAGAGGAATGGTAATGTGTTATGAAATTCAAGAGTTTGGGGAACAGACAGGCCTTTCTGCAGCTAGAGAGGAGACTCAGAATGCTACGTTGCTTTCCTGGTGCTAAGATCAAGGATGGCACCGAGCAGCTGCATGACATTCTTTTGGGGTGGGTGAACAACCAGAAGGCATGGTTCACACTGGTATCAATTACATTGATGATACCCTGAAAGCAGAGTTTAGGGAATTAGGAAAGACATTGAAAAACAGGATCTTGAAGATAGTAATCTCAGTATTATCCCCAGTATCAGAAATAATAAGAATGGAGTGATGCAACATGTCTGGAGAAGTGGTGTAGAAATGGAGGAACAGAATTAGACCATGGGGCCCATTGAGTCTACTCTGTGACTTTATTATGGCTGATATGTTTCTCAATCCCATTCTCCTGCCTTTGCCTTGTAATCTTTAATCCCCTGACTAATCAAGAACCTATCTATATCTCGGTTTTAAACACATTCAATGACTTGGCCTCCATAGCCTTCTGCAGCATTGAGTTCCAGAGATTCACCACCCTCAGGATGAAGAAATTCCTCTCATCTCAGTTCTAGAGGGTCATCCTTTCACTGAGGCTCTGGCCTCAGGTCCTAGTCTCTCTGACTAGGGACATCTTCACCACATTCACTCTATCGAGGCCTCTTAGTATTCTGTAAGTTTCAATAGGATTTCTCTTATTCTTCCAAATTCCATCAAGTATAGACAAAGCCTTCAACCACTCCTCATATTACAAGCTCATTTTGTTGGGGAGAATTTAAACATGCCTGTCAGAGTGATGGGGCAAGAGGGAATTCGGGTAGTAGAAAAACAATACAGGTAAAAGGAGTAAAAAAAAGGTAATAGCAGGAACAAAGAGTGATCAAAGAGTCAAAAGACAAAAAAGGTTTAAAAAACAGAATTAAAGACACTCTGAATGCACATAGCATTCACAACAGCTGATGAACTAGTGGTACAAAATCAAAGTTGCTAGCATAAAAACTTGACTGCTCAAGGCTGTGATATAACTATTCCAGTTTATTCAAAATTTAAGAAAGAGTGGTTAAAAGGAAAGAGATGGAATAGTGTTTTTAACAAGGGATGGGATAAATGCTGTTCAATAGCGAGAAGAGATCTCAAATTGGAAGAATCCATTTGGATGAAGCTAAGAGCAGAAATGGGCAAACTTGAGTAGTTATTTATAGGATAC